CCGCGGAGGATAAAGCTACAGCATTTCAAACAACAATCCGTAAGTACATATATCCTTTCTGGAAAAAAATCTCCGTTCATTTTAATAATATCAACGGTGACGCTTCGATCATTTTGTGAAAAGATCGATAAATTATCTCCAAACTTCTGCACGAGATGAAATATGTTTTTATTCTATGATGTACGATTTTGGCTGTGATTCATTGTACCAGAAATAAAATTTAACATTTAAAATCGATACTATATTTGAACAGTTAGTCATGACATGCATTTAAATAAATAACGTATTTCTGCAGACCGTATATAACAATTTCAAGCCTACCGAAGACATGATCTCGATATTTGTATCAAAAAGCGAAAAAGATTCTATGTGTGCAACGAAAAAGCTCACTAGAAATTCAAGTGTCAAAAAGGAACGGAAGATTGACGACAGCGTTAAGAAGAAGATTTTTTCACTATGTTACACCGATGATATAGAAAAGTCGTTTGATAATAATAAAAGTACTTGTTCCAACGATATCAATCGGAACATTTTTATGAGTCCTAGCTCTTTACTTTCCAAATCTTCGTATTACGAAGTCGGGAAACATTTTTTGACGACGAGTGCTGATTTCGACGAATTCAAAATTTTAAAGAAGCATGTACCTGAAATAGCGAATTTATCGGTTCAGACGACAGATTGTCTTGAAGTCGAGTTGTGCATGTCGGAAAGTGCATCGGAAATTGCGAAGCAAAGCAAATCTCTGTTCCATAAAGACAAAGAGCTTTCGACGACTGCAAAATCTGACGCGAACGATGATGTTAAAAATTATCTTGTACCCGATTCACAAGATATTAAAGCCAAGAATTTATTAACGAACAAACCTCAAAGAAAACGAAAGGTTGGAAGTTCGAAGAAGCCAGTAATTGCTAAGAAATCGACACCGACTAAAATCATTTGCGAGATGTACGGTACAAAAACAATTAGTTATGATCCCGTGGAAAAAGTTCATTCACCTAAAATCGGAGAGTCGAATCTTAGCGATAGCACTGTAGTTTCGTCATTGTGCCAGAAAAAGAATGCCGAAAACCCTACAGCTTTTAGTAATTTCGATTTGACCGATCTGAATTTACGCGCTACGAATCTTTCGAGTCATTCCAGCTCGAGCTCATCGTCGAGTTCAAGTTCTTCGTCGTCAAATTCAAATTCATCGAGTTCTAGTTCGAGTTCTAATTCGAGTTCGAGTTCTAGTTCGAGTTCGAGTTCGTCGTCGAGTTCACGTTCTACGAGTAAAACTGTAGTAGAAACGTCATTAATACCTTCAATAGAGGATACAGAAAACAATAAAATTGTTGAACTTCCTCTATCGCAGGAACCAAAACAATAATATAACTGTTTACGTTTTCATCATACAAATGTTCTTATATAACTGATGCGACTTCATTGTTTTTTTTGTATTGTTCTGACGAATAGGATAAGACAGCTTAAATTTTATTAATATTTCGCTTATAAGAATTTATATTAGACATATGATTATAATTTTTATAGAAGTGACACACTTTATGATTTCACATTGTAACACGTTTTACACCTAAACTTGCATTATTATTTTATTAGTATGTATGCCACAATAAAAGTATTAGTTAAACCAGTATCTTGTGAGTCATTTATTTTCATTTAAGAAATAAAGACCAGTTTTTTAAACCATTTCAATTAAATAAAATTGAATTAGAAGGATACTTTTAACAGGAACTAATGTAGCTTAACTTCCGCTTGCTCTTGTACATGTATTCATTCACCGCGTTCCGGCTCGGGTTTCGGAAATGTTTATATAAACAGCGATAACGAAGTCTACAGATACGCATTCTGTCCAGCTACGAAGCAGCGCGAATTCAATTTAAAAAATGATGTTATACTACAAGAAATTCTAAATAAAATTACAGTGAAACCTCGATAAATGTCGCTACGTTCGAATCGTTTTTCGAATTTGATTGTAGTTTGCCGACGCCTCGAACATTGAAAGAGTCAGTAGCTGAAGAAGAAAGAGGGACTGAGAACCGGATTTATCGCCCCAGTTTAAATATCCGTTACACATTATATTTCTGAAAATATTTCGGTTTGCACAAAATCTGAAATTCTGTGCCAAAAGTTAGGGAAAGGTATTTACACAACAGAGGAGTTGGAACAGAGGTAGCCAACAAAACCTTCTAACTCATAAATGTTGCAGTTTCTGATCACTTATGGAACAGCGGAAGCATTTCGTTTGAAAATAGTTACCTTCTATTCGATAAATGTACCTAGCATCTCAATAAACAAAGAGAGAAAGACTCGCGAGTACAATATTTAATTCAATATTATGCTACCAAATATTGATCGATTTATATCGTGTTTGGTCTCATTTTAATCAGAAAAATCTCCCCCACGTGACAGTAAAATTTTTATTAACAAAAAGTAAAAAATAAATAACTTTTTTCTGTACTGTAGTGTGGTCACACTGACGGGGGCATTTAAACGAAGGCGACAAAGGCAATAAAGATTTTAAAAGAAAGCTACTGTATCTCTGATTACACTTCGCCTCACTGGTTCAAGGGGGATCCCCCTAGTGGTGGGGATAAAAATGTATCATTTACGGAACAACTCTCGAGGGCATTTATCAAGTTTCCACTGCAGTACCATTAAAGATTTGACGATTAATAAATCGAACGATAATAATTTTAGACGAACGCACGAACGGGAAAAATTCTATGAGGTTCATTAGGCAATGAAAGAACCGAACGGTCTTACGTTTCTGTTTTTCGATTTCCTTGCGGCAGTAATGCTGACAAAAATCACGGCCGGTTTACAGCTTAGCATATGGCAAACGTTACCTCGAGATGCAGCCGGTGCACCGTACCGCGACTATTATTTGCGTCGCCATTGACGAATCACAACGCTCAAAGCGTAACGGCCACGGAGGACGAAGCCGGAACTACCACGAAGAATTTGTCTTCGTCTCTTGCATCCCGGAGGCTTTGACTTTAGTTTTACACCAGTGGTGCGCAATCTCTCTCTACCGAACTATTAACTAGAATATTAGTTGGCAATTAAAAGCATAGACAGAAAATTTATATCCTCAAGACAGTCGATTTTGAAGAGACTCGAGATACTCCTGTATTGGTTACCGAGCAGAACATTTTATGACTTCTAAGCGTTCGCTATCGTCCGACGTATATAAGAAACATTACGTCAGTGGCTATAAATATTCACTTTACAACAAAAAGTAGTATAAGAGCACTTACTTCGTTCCGTCACAGAGATCTGTAAACTTAGAGGATGACAACTGTGCAATGACACGACCCACATTGCAACAGTAAGGTTTATAAAATGGGAGGAGATATAAAAACTCAATGTATTTTGTTTTAACATAAATCAATTCTTTTCGTGTTTCCAGGTATAAAAGTACGAAATCGTAATCACCGAGGATGCAATACTTTAAGAGATATTTTATATTTTATGATAGGATATTACTTTATCCTAGCAGGTGTTCGAACATTCCACCATGAACGTTTAAACATTTTATTACACGATTCCTTACATTTTTCATTGCATTCTTAAGATGAGTAGCAATCACATTCACACGGTTAGATTTTATTTTAATTCTCTTGTCGTCGCGCTCGTCTTTCAATCACCAAACACATCACATACGTTCTTCACGGTATTGTCGCTGTCAAAGCAGCCACTTTTGATTGTAAATAACAATTGAACACAAAGAATTCTAGTAATTAAAACTTTTGCATGCACCAAATTGATCTATGGATCTAAACGGATTTGTACTCTATTGTAAATAGTAGATACGAAATCGATAACAGGCGTATGTACTATCGTTGAGAAAATTACACGGATAAAGAAATGCGGGGACGGTGGTAGCGAGATTATTCGCCTTTACATCCTCGTTATTGACGACGTAATTTCAGCGTGTAACGACTCTCAAGGGGTCCCCGGACACGGCTAGGCAGATAAAGATCAACGACGCGCTGGCCATGAACTTTGCACCGTGAGAAGAGTTTTCTTCGCTTAACAAGTCGCGTCGAAGTTCCCGCGCTTCCAGACAATGAATCCTTCCTTCCACGCGGTGAACAACCGTAGTCATTTCCAGGATTCATAATGGGAATGAGAAGGGAAGCCGGATGGTTTCGCGATCTCTTATTGTAGCTTACACGCGGTTCAGGCTTGAACAATTCGAAGACGATAAAACACAGTTCGCTCTACGACGAACAATGTAACAAAGAGGAAAAAAAATACATTGTATACTCTGTCACACAAAATCGGAATTTGCATCAAACCGTTTCACCGACAATGCCTTCATCGAGACCATTCGACCGCCATTGATTTCGACGACAATGTTTACTAAATAACATCAATGATGCTTATGCATAAAAATACTACTCTGTCAGTGTAGATCCCAAAACATCTTTAGATTATTATTCGAGAAGCAATCTAAACCTTCTGTTAATGTTGCAAGATAACGATAATAAGAAATAATTTAACGCTGAACGGGAAAGTTCACTGGATTCATATAAGGACGTAGGATAATGTGCATTGTAAAACCGCTCGTGGGAATGTTACGAAACCGTTAATTTTTCTTCTATATGTATAAATATTATCGATACTGTAATCAGAATAGTCGTAAAAGTAACGTAGGAAACGTTTAAAACAATATAAATTAATCGTTGCATAATATTATGTACATTATGTAGGATGTCCCGTTTAACTGAAAGTATGAAGTAATGCCAAAGGAGGAAAATGTTTAGTTTGAAGGGGCAACTGTTGCGATTGGCAAAACTTCTTCCTCAAGGTCATTTTCTATGATTTGAAGGTCATCTATGTTTTTTTTTTAACGGGATTGCATACTCACCCATGGTGTTATGGTTGTTGTCTATTTTCTATATGCAAAATCACCTATACGTCATGTTATTATACAGCACCGCAACGATAAAGGCTGAATTATTCTTATTATTCTCAACTTGCTGCAATCCTGGCGGCAACTTCACGTCGGTGTGCATTGCATAGTACACGTGTTGGCAAACATAACCTAAAATCAAAGGAAAAATCATGGGGCGGCATAAAAAGGTACGTATCTTAATAAAACAGTGAAGTTTTAAATAATATTTAAAACGATAAAATTAAAGCGATTGTATGTAACATGAACATCAATTCTACAGGGACGTTGTGCAAGGAAAAACAAGCAAATTAGTTTGGATGAAAATCCAGATATAGTAAAGGCTCCTCATTCATTTGTAATCCATCGTGGATTACCTGGAGAACATATAGGAGAACTTACGAAAGATTTTCGTAAAATCATGGAACCATTCACAGCGTTATCTTTAAAAGAAAGGAAGCGAAATACTATCAAGGATTTTGTATCTGTAGCTAGTACGCTTCATGTTACGCACATGTGCATGTTTACAAGGACAGAACAAGGAATGTATTTCAAACTTTGCAGGTATTACATTCAATTATATTATTTGCACTTTCATGAAATAATATACATGTTACAGAATACTTAAAAATATAAATGTGTGATAGATTACCAAGAGGACCAACATTGTCCTTCAAAATACACAGCTTCTCTTTAGCACGTGACATTATCTCTATGTTGAAAAAGCAATTGGTGTACGAGGAATTGTTTAAGAATTCTCCACTAGTTGTTTTAAATAATTTTAGCGGAGAAGGCATGCATTTGAAGCTCATTGCTTCCATGTTCCAAAATATGTTTCCTACTATAAATTTAAGAACGGTAAACTTAAAGAATAACAATCTCAATGCATGTATCATAACTGATGTTCTTATATTATGAAGAAACATTTTTATATATATTTAAAGGTCAATTTAAGCTCAATTCGTCGATGTGTCTGCCTAAATTATAATCCATCATCAAAAACTATTGATCTTAGGCATTATGCTATTAGAATTATACCCGTTGGTTTATCGAGAGGCGTTAAAAAATTAGTTCAAGCTAAGATACCAAATTTATCGAAATGCGACGACTTTTCGGACTTTTTGACGAAAGAAGTTGTTTCTGAAAGCGAAGCCGAGGATGATACGGAAACTCATGTTACATTACCGCAAAAACTGTCTTCGCGTGGTAATTATGCGAGAAATAAAAGTGCAATCAGACTTTTCGAATTAGGTCCCAGGTTAACGTTAGAGGTTAGAAAGTTTCTCTTTATCAAAAATCGAAAACAACTAGTGGAGTTCAATATTTTTCTTTAAAATGGTTTTAGTTAATTAAAGTTGAAGATGGACTTATGGATGGAGAAGTACTTTACCATGAGTATATTCAAAAGTCAGAGGAGGAGCAATTACTGATCAAGAAGAAACGCGACGAGAAGAAAAAATTGAAGGAAAAACGGAAGAAAATACAAGAACAGAATAAAGAACGGAAAGAATTACTGAAAAAAGAACACAAAGAAAAATCATTGAAGGGAATGAGGAAGAAGACAGAAAACGAAACGTTATTAAGAAAATATGCGAAAGAATCGGTCGAACAAAGTAATCTAGAACAGGACAATGACGCTCAGTATTATCGTGACGAAGTCGGGGAAGAACCGGATAAGGGTAAGTACAATTTAATAAATTTATTATTATAGAATAACTAATGAATTCTTTATTGCAGACCTGTTTGAAAGTAAAGCTGGTGGAAAGAGGACTAAAACTTTCCAACCTAAATACAAAACGAAAAAACAAAAACTTTCCAAGTCGTGAGACGCGTAGAAACTATTAGAAACGCAAATTACGTGAACTGACATTGTACATACGATATTAACACATATGCTAACATATTTTCTAATAAAAACAATTTTTTAAAAAAACCAATGTCTGATAAATAATTATTATGAACTATATACCCTTCAAAAGAAAGTCTATTATTATATATAAGTAGTAACTTACACGATCCAACAATTTAGCAATTTAATAATTTAATTTAGTAAAATTCTAAACGAAGTATAACATCGAATGATTGCAAATGTAACCGGTAGCGTGGTACATAATACAAATGGCGAGTCTTTCGTCCATCTTGTTTCAGTCAATATATTCTATCAAATTGTTTAATTTGCTGCAAATATTCTACGTGAATTTGTACATGTCACTTACACAGCTTACACTTCATCTTTCCCGATGGTACTTTCAAAATGTGCTTGACACTACCTCTATGGTAAGGTCGTGTAAGTTTCTGCATGTTATGGCGGAGGTATTCTGGTCGACTCACTTATGTTCTTACATCATGGTCACATTGCTACCACCACAGCCGACTAACCATACTGAACGAGAAACAGCAACACTGTGTGAGTCCGATTGTACGTTAAATAAACAGAGATATACAAATATTGCGTATTCTTTCTATCAAGAAGAAAATCAGACTCTCGCAGCGTTACTGTTTCTCGTAGGGAGACCGAGTCCCGACTAGCATTTCTATTGGAGGCTCAGCGAAGTCCCTACTAGCGTCAGCCATTTTGTAGAGGGGATGAGCCAATCAGCTTCCTTCTTACTCCTCAGTCCATCTATATATATGTTCTATTCTGTATACAGCTGTTAAGATGTGTACAATTTTCACCATGTAAATAAATTGAAATAAATACATATACAGTGTACAGTGATTTGTGTGGCTGTCAAATTTTCTATTAAGTGTAAAGTTAAACGGATTCATCTCTGCATATTATACTTTTGATATGTTCTACACCATAAAATTGTAAACAATCCGATCGAAGATGAGCGACAATGAAACAAGTAATATGAATACTTTAATATATTCCTTTGTTTTTTTTTTATTTTAATAGAAAAATGCATAACAATGTATAATATTATAGCAATTTATAGGTATGATTATGTTAATACATTAATTTTATCTATAAGAATATGAATAAATTAACATTATTCAAACTGCTGTTAGGATGCTTACCAAGGTATTTTAAGCTGCAGATAAAAACCTATCCACACAAAAGGTTTTGGTGGCTGGTTATGACCCAGGCTGGAATGATCCACCAAAATGGGCATACTCTGGTACACAGAGTACTGCAACCACACCTACCAAACGAATGTTAAATAAGCGGGTTGCATTTCCTTTAGCATCCACACCAGTTGCAAACAAAGAATCTTTGCCTTCGAATGCATTAATGACTATGCCACCATTACCATCTTCTGTTAATTTAATGGCTGCATCCCATCCACCATTGGTACCATCTGTTAACAAAGATGTAGAAACAAAAACAAATGAGTTACAGATTGATAAGGAACAGGCATTAAATGATACCTTAGCAAATTTTGAAACTGTAATCAAGGAACATGTATTAGATAAAACTAAAGCAGAAGAAGTGAGGAGAAGGATAGATATATTAAAAGATGTGTGGCTTGAAGACAAATTAAATAATATACTTCATAAAAAGATTTTAGATTTGTCTATAGGTTAGTTCCTTATAATATTCTGTTGAGAAGGTAAGAGAATAAGAGAAGATTTTTTCAGCTTTAAGAAAAGGAGAGATTGATGAAGCAGATCAAATACATGTTGCATTAATGATGCAACATGCTTCTTTGTGCAGTTCATGGATATCTGGCATTAGGCATATTATTTTAGGGTTAAAGACCAAATTAAAAAACTCAAGTGCAATGGAGTCCGAAAATTCAGGATCGGAATTATTACCGGTCGAACGAAAGGAATAAGCTTAGTATTAAGAATGCAAAAATATAACGAATGACTTCCTTAAAATTAAATAAAGAACGCTTGTACATATAAATTGTTAATTCTGTATCAACATTACGTTTTAGTGCATCGATATTTTCAATATTAATTCATTGTATTATTTATATGTAAAAATAAATTACATGGATAATCCACGAAAAATGAATTTCGAAGTAATTACTTATACCACAGACGAAGTATACGAGTAGACCTTATATTTGCGGTAAAGAATTTTTTCTCGAAAGTGTGTAGGAATTCGGGGGTATGTATGTTCACCAAAAATGATTGTAATTTACCCCCCTAGCTAAAAATAATTTTTTTAGAACAATTTGAAATTTTTTTTTTTGCCGAAAAATTTCACACCTACTCGAATTTTTTTCTCGAAAGTACGTAGGAATTCGGGGGTATGTCTATTGATCAAAAATGATTTTAATTTACCCCCCTAGCTAAAAATAATTTTTTTAGAATGATTTGAAATTTTTTAATTTTGTCGAAAAATTTCACACCTACTCGAATTTTTTTCTCGAAAGTACGTAGGAATTCGGGGGTATGTCTATTGACCAAAAATGATTGTAATTTACCCCCTTAGCTAAAAATACTTTTTTTAGAACGATTTAAAATTTTTTTTTTTACCGAAAAATTTCACACCTACTCGATTTTTTTTCTCGAAAGTACGTAGGAATTCGGGGGTATGGCTATTGACCAAAAATGATTGTAATTTACCCCCCTAGCTAAAAATAATTTTTTTAGAACGATTTGAAATTTTTTTTTTTTCGAAAAATTTAGGCACCTACCCCCTGCCGATTTTTCTTAAAAATCCGTTTTTGATTTTTAATAAATTTGTTTGACACTATGGAAACGTTGTTTAATACTTTTCTGTAAGTATTCTCGAGTTCTAGAAGACTGCCTCAAGAATCGTATTATTACATTAGGATCGATCATATTATGAAACTGGGAGGAAAAGAACATTTTTGGAGGATTATTTGGTGTGTACGATACACTCAACACGCATGTTAAATGCATAACATCTTTATTGTACCATGATATGCAAGAATTATCGCTTCAATTTATCGACTCTGTTTCGCGAGTAGTTTTAAAACTGCATACTTTTTGCCACACGATACAAAAAGCAATTCTATTACGTTAAATAAGAAAAATATATTAATTAACGACACGCGTACGTTCAAGTGAATACAAGATATATCTGGACCGTCGAGCGTCGATGAAACTTAACCGATAATATCAATCTCGATCAACCCATCGAACATACGCTAGCGACGAATGTCGATCGAGTATTCGTAAAACTACCGATCGATATCGAACCGTTTGTTTCTTTCTTTTTTTTATTATCGTGACTGTTGGCTCGATATTGTAGTACATCGTTCGAAATGATATCAATCAATTGAATTATAAGTATATGTGCGTATAAAGAAAAGTACATACTCGTGTTTAGGAGGGAATCCTTTTCAACGCTTTATAATATCTCATAAACATGTACACGAATGGTCAATAGCCGTCCAAAAATATGTGCGTACACGCGGTTGGTCGTTTACCATTAAACTTCTCTATTCATTCTGTCTCGTAGTTTTTCTCCACGATTGGTGTACGGTTGCGAAAAAAGATTAAGTCACCTTTACTCATAAAAGTTTCTTGTATTTCTCATTTCTCTCTTATGTATATTCACAAAGGACAATTACATCTTACTTATAACATATTCTTCATCTAAATGTACTCTTACGTCGATAATAGTCATCGATAGCAATGATCAGTTTATATTCTATTACTTATCGTCTATGAATCGCTACTAAACTCTAAGCATACTGTGATTCATCGCTCAAGCACACCCGCGTTTTTCGTCATCTCACCACGCGCATTTCGACAAATATCCCAGGCGTTCTCTCCCGATCGAAATGCACGTCGATCGATGCTCGTTTCTTCGTTCGTCCACTTTGTTTTCATGTTGTCGCCTCTCTACGCGATACCAAAAATCAAAATAGAAAATAAGAAACAAGACGGAAAGAAACGTTACATCGTCAATGTTCACGGCACGGCACGACGATAAAGTTGATCATTATTTTTTTTCGTATATCCACCGTTGACCGATTTCCGAGTCGAGATTTGAGTCTTTTATACTTTTTATCCCTCTTTTCATCATTGCTTCTCTATATTCCTTTCGCTGGTTCGGCTCATTTTTTGGCGCGATCGAACGGCGAAAGGCGATAAAACGCTTTACAAGTAAATACACACATATGTATATATATATATATACACATACATACATACATATACATATATACATATATATATGCATTTATATATTCATTATAAAACTTACATCTTAACTTACGACCATCTATTTTAAATCGTCAATATATTAGATTTTTCTCCCATTCGTCATTTTCATTTCCATTTCATCATTTAATCTCGCGTAAATAAATATTCATAAATACATATGGGCTCGACGCACAGCCGACATTTCTCTCGATGGATCCTTAGCGCGCCCCGCCGCATATTGTTTTCGTTTAATTTCTTTTTTCACCGTCGAATCGCGATCAAGAGCGAGACGCGGTTCTCGATCGTGGATCGTCAAACGAAAATTTTACCGGGATATACGATTTCGACTCGAACAACGCAAGTGAACGTCACTTTTTAGTTTACTTTTAAATATCTGCTCGCTTTAATTCTCGTACTTTGTTTTCCTGTCAACGATCACGACGCCGAGAGAATAAAAAAAAAAAAAAAAAAAACGATCGATCGAGACAACCTCTGGTATGCGTCGCGGCCCGAATTTCGATTTAAAATTTCTCCATGGTTCTTTATCCAAAAATATATGTACACATATGTAGTCGGTGTATACGTAGCGCTATATTCGTATGCCCTATTCTTTTTTTTTTTTCTTGAGGGGGGAGGGGCGGGGGGGGGGCGTGGGGAACCCGGGGGGATATATTTTGGTACCGAAGTGCAAAAATTGTGAACGAGCCCCGTTTCATTCTGTCTATTTGCTTTCGTCGAGTTCGCGGTCTTCTCGCTATCAAGACACCCTGTATACGTATACGGGCTCGTATATACATACACGCGTTTGCATATGTATATATGTACGTGTATGCATATGTACGTATGCGCACGTATATGTATATATTTGTCGACAATAAAGAATTTGTATAAATACGCGTACGTCTCACGATTTTCGCACCCCAGGTATGCTCATTATACTACGGTCTATTTAGTTTTCTTTCCTTCCACTTATCCATTCGCAAACTCTTCACTGTCACTGCACACTACAAGTATTTATCGTTAATTAATTAATTACTTTATTATTATTATTATTATTTTTTGTCGATTCTTATCAATCAATCTCCCTATTGTTATTCTGCATCATCGTTTTATAAGGCGGACATAAGTGTTTTTATTTTCTCACGAGACAGAATATACGTCAAGTATATTTGTTGTGTTGTTTTGTATTTTCCGTTTTTTTTTTTCATCGTAATTACATCTATATATATTTGCGTATATATACGTGTACGCGTACACGTGCACGCACGTATACATATATATACGCACATTCGCTACAAACTATTTAAAAAATTTGTTTTTCCTCACCTCGTTTCTCCCATCTAAACCTCGCATACCATCGTTCCTCTTCTTTCATTTCATATTTATTATTATTATTATTATTTTTTTTTTTGTGAGTTTTTCGTAGGTTTTTTCGTACAAAACAAAATGGCATCTTTTTGGCATTGGAAGAAAAAATACAGTTTTCAACCTCTTTCTTTCTTACTTTTCTTTTTTTTTTGTCCTCTCGTTTCGCTTCACTCGTTCAAATCGTAACCCTCGTTCTCCACTCGCTTCCGCTCCACGTAAAATACAATCGGCAACGTTATCTCGCGCGTTCTTTTCCTTCACTTCCCCCCCCCCCTGCCCCCACGTTCGATTATTCTCGTTAAAAAAAAATCGATCCTCTCGCTCGTACACACACTTACTTCAGCCCCGAGACACGGTATTCGTATAACAGCTATTTACGAGTAAATTCCCATCGTTACGCTCCTAATTATTACCTTTAATACTATTTTGGCATCGTCGCGTTAAAATCTCGAGTTTCCGCGTTTCGTTAAAAGAATTCTTTAAAACAAAGAAAACAAGAAACAGCAATGACAACGAGCTTCCCCTTGTCTTTCGTTTAATTTCCCCCCCTTTTTCATTTATTTTAATCATTTTCCTTTCGTGTTTGCTTCTCTGTTCCTCTCTTTAATTACAAGCTGGAAGTACACGACCAATTCGTTCGCGGATCGTGCGACGAATTCTCCCTGAAAATCCTTTATTGCCCCTTGCACACAACCAAGCACGATACGGAAGTCGTCGAGAGGAAATGCTTCGCCACCGAGCACCACGTTACGAGCGGAATGTGGATCGCGATCGAGGGAAGAAAGAATACGAGCGCGTTTCGAGCACGGATCTTCCTTGGCTGTCGATCGCCCCAAAACCAGAGACAGGCGCCATAATGTCTAGATAGAAATCTCAAATCATGATCGATAGATAACAAAATTAGAACTTTAATTATAGGATGCTTGACGATGTTTGATTGTCTGTTGTATATATTATTAAAATTTCCCGTCACATGATATAAATTTAACCGTATCACCGGGCAAAATATAATCCATAAAGTCAATACAAAATTCATCGATACTAAAAACTAAGATTCGTGCGGTACGAATTTTACCGCGTGTCTACGATTCTCCTAAATATTATTTACAACATCGATTATTCCGATTTATACAAGGAGCGAAGAAACTCGAAACTGTGATCGAAAGAATCTAAAATATCCTCGAAGAGTTTCCAATGGCAGATTTTATTTCCGGATAGCGAATACTAATTTTCGATTCGTTCGTAAATCGGCTAAAAAGTTTGTGGATTCTGATGAAACGAACTTGTTTCGTTCGTGATTCGGAAATGAAATCTCCCTGTCTCTGGCGCGAGCGTTCTCGAAACCGTGAGAGAACCGTCTTCGCGATGAAATCGTTTGTTAAAGTGTGATTTTTCGGTAACCTTTGCTCGAGGAAGATCTTCGACAAAATTCAAGCCGGAAATAACGAGGACAAACGTGCTCGTTCTAGCGAACAGCGAATAAGAAACAAGAAGAGTTGCGATCGAAACGTTCGCCTGCAAGAAGAAAGAAAATGGACGTCGAACCTAGCTTAGATTTTTTTTTTCAGAGCGATTCTTTGAATCGAGGAAAACGTGCTTTGCGGTCACTGCGGTATCAGCGCGATTTTTCTTTCTATTTGGAGATTCTTAATTGACTGAATGAGATCGATTCTCGTTCTCGAGGGGGACTGATCGAAGAACGGTACTCGTCGTGTTAAAAAATAGTGTCCTTACCGACGATCGACCGTCGATTCACGATTTTTCTTTTGCTTTTACAACCTAGGGACTCCGGAGTCGCGCGTTAAAACCGAGGAACGATTGCAATTCTAGCGAACAAGGTCCACCGTACGATAAAGCAAAGAACAATACAAGGGAAGAAAAAAACGAACAAAATTATACGAGGGACGACTAGCGTTTAAAAAGGCGCGCGAAACGATATTTTCGTTCTTTGTTAGTCACGGAATAAAAGGGACGAACAATAGAAAAGAACCGGACATACGACGAAAACTGAACCAGATAAAAGGCTCGGTGTACACTTTCGACTCGATCACGAGTTGGTCGTCCAAAAGTGAAACAAACATCAATGAAAAATAGAATAGCAAATACAATAGAACAACGCGTTTCATCGAAAACTTAATCAATAAATAATCGATTAAATTAGATTATATTACTAATTATTATTGTTTGCCGCTAATAATTATTATTATTACTACATTATGATAATAATGAATGATAATATATTAATGATTCTTATAATACTCCGATGGGCGAGGGTCGTTGGACGCGTCATTTTAGTTCCCTTCTCCCTTCTCGCGCCTGTCGATTCGGTGTCGTATCGTCCTCGAACCACCCTCTCTTACTGTCTTCTCGAGACCCCCTGCACACGCGTGCGCGACGACCGAACTTCCGGTCCGTGGCGCGTCGAAACGTTCGAAAGGCAAAAGAGGAAACGGAGCCCCGTGGTGATCCCGTTTTACGCGCGACCATCGAAACCAGAAACGATTATCCCGCGAACGAATAAATAAATCGTCGTCGTCAACGGACAGAGAAGCTGGTCTCGCCACCCTTCTAACGCGTCCCGGTTCTCATTCACCTCCTTCTGTTCGCTTGCTACCGACGACGGTAATATTGATCCTTAATCCCTATCGATCGCTAATGACAAATGATTACAAAATAAGAAACAAAGGTTAAAACGCGATAAAAAGAACAAAAAAGAAAAAACATGTAGGTCTAAGATTGAAAGGGGTATGGTTGTTTGGGGGGTGGATGGGAGGGAAGTCGCAACGCAAGTCGCAGCTAGATTATTTACAGGAAAACAGGGATCAGGTTCGAACGACGCGCGAACGCGTGGATCGTTTTGGCTCCGCGAGTTCTTCGGATTCTGGGGCGTTCGCGTCGAACCTTCGGATTCACTTGGCCGCCATCCGCGAAATATCCTTATACGCGTGTCCTCATCATCGCTCGCAGAGATTACGCCCCCGCACGGAAGGCTACGAAGAGCGATCCCGCGATCACCGCGACGAATAATAATCCCATTCGATCGCCGCCCGGACCGGGGATCGAGCTAGACTCTAAAAGGCTTGGAAAAACAGTCGGAAGAACGTAGCTGACGAAGAAGACGACAACGAGATGCATTCTATCGCGTCCCTGTTTGCTTGCTCGCTCGCTTGGTTGCTCGTTTATCGTTTTGTCGCTCGGGTGATTAGTTAGAAAGATGCTTTGTACTCAGCCGACCCGAAGGACGAGAATTGTTAGTAATTAATAATCGCGCGTGTCTCTCCGTTGAATATCGTTCTTAATCAGTACGTGGTACACAGTAATAAGAGCTACGGGTGCAAACACGTGCAGAATTACAAATAAATACGATGATTAACAAGCGCAATGTACAATAGGCGAACGAAAACAAAAAAGAGAGAGAGAGAGAGAGAGAGAGAGATGTTGCGAGTGAATGAATGAAAAAAAAAAGAATAATTAAACGTTGATAATTACCGTTTAATCGATTACCTTAAAAACTTGAGATCATTTTCGTGTGTTCGTGTGTGTGCGTGTGTGTGTGTGTGTGTGTGTACGTATACGTGTAATGTTCGTGGTGATACACGGCACACTTGGCCGCGGAGTCTCCGTCGAGATTGTGCAAACGACTTTTACAAAGAATCGATTCGAAACTAACGCTTTTCGAGGGTTTGGAGTGGTATGATGAATCTACGGTGTCGATGATGCACGCTATTACGTATTAAAAACGAAACAAAAAAAAAAAACAATAGAGAACGTGTTATAAAATGGCAGAGATCGACGATCGGCCTCTCTGCACGACTATACAAAGTGGATGGGGCTTTGTACAAAAATTTGTACCAGCGCGCACGTATCGTCAGCGTACATGTCTGCTTCCTCTGCGTAACGTTGCGAAATGTTTGTCATCTAGGCTTGGACTAGCTAAATACGATTACGACTCTACCAACACGAAACCATTTAAAAATGTACAATTGGATACGCTTCGTTCCTCCTCTTTCCCCTCGTTACTCTTGCGTTCATCCATATTCTCTCGTTTTCTACTCTGTCAATGTCTTTACCGCGCGACAAGACGCAGCGTTTCATTTCGTCCAGTGAATCAGCCTCGATCACGATTATTTTTTCTTTTCAACGTGCCTCGCGCGCCTGTCACCTCTTTCTACCATTTCGTCTCCTTTGTTCCATCATCCTTTCTGTCACGTCGGTCTGCAACGCACGGATCTCGATTCTACCCGTGATTTCGTGTAAAAGATCGATATAAAAAGGGAAGCCCCGATTAAAGTTGTATCCTGCGACGTTCATCCGTGCGAATCCGTGGTTCCCGTTCCTCGGGTATTCTTCGTGTCCCCTTCTCGTTCCGCTTGCGTTTAACGTTTATGTTCTTCCGAAAAAACGTGGAATAGAAAAATGGCAGTGCAAACGTATGTCTTCGCTTCGTCGGTAAATAACTATACACATCTAGGACGACGTCGACGGCTCGTGGATAGCCCTTCGTGGTGACGGTTCTGTCGTGTGGTCTTCGATCCCTTCGGGGGAGGTTCGTACCGTCTTGCTCGTTCGCGTGATTTACCTCATGTGTTTCACACCGAACGTTCGACTGGTCCTCAGTCGTGCGTGTCGCGTGGCTGATGATCGTGTTGCTCCGTTCAGCGACGAGATCGATCGATTCCTGGCACGGTTCGTGGTCATCGATGGCTGGAACCGTGCCCCCCGACGATCACTCATCCAATGGCCCCACCCTCCTGATACGGGCCAGTTATCATGCACGGATGCATGGGGAAGAGCGTCGTCCAGGTCATCGTGGTGTACGTGGGCGATCTCATCATGAACTGCGAGCTGGGTACGCTGGGTACGCGAGGAAGTGGCGTTGTTATCTTCTCGGTGGTGGTCGCGCTGGCAGGGCTGGCGGGAGTCGACGACGTCGACAGCGATTGCGACGTGGTGGACGCCGTGGTCGTGGTGGTGGCGGCCGTGACGCCTAACTTCCGCAGTCGCATCTTCTCCTCCCATTCGTCCCAACCGTGTCTGGGTCTGTTGAGGTTGCGGTGCTGATAGAAGACCAAGCTGATCCTGGTCGGGCTGATACGGTTGGGCTTCTTCAGGGCCGTGGTAGCGTGCATCTCGTGCTTGGCGCACTCGAACAGGACGCTACCATGGCCCAGGGCTATCGCTACGCCGCCCATCTGCGAATCCTTGAAGCACTCCTCGTTGTCGGAGTAGTCGGCGACCTCGCCAAGCGGCTCGGCCTTTGGCGGTGGTTCCGGTAACACCGGGAAGTATGGCGGTGGCCCGTATATGTCCCATCGGGGAGTGTCCCACCTGGCCCAGCTAGGATTCAGACCCTGATAGGGGGGCACTCCTTGGTAAGGGTACTGCGGCGAAGGGAAGCACGCTTCTCTCTTTGGTTGCTGATAGAACTGCGGCGGATACTCCGGCGCTTGGGGGTGGTACGGTTGATGGTAGTTGTAGCTCTCCCAAGTGTTGGAGTACGGTTTGTCGAACACGGGATACGTCGGGTAGCCGTACTGCGGAAAGGAAGCGTGGGGATGCCCTAAGCCCGGCATCGCGTGGAAGTCTTGCACCTGCTTCATCTCTTCCGGCCACGGGAAGCAGTTCGCGTTCGGATTCGCCACGTTCTGTCTGGCGTCGTGGAATCCCTCCTTCATCTTGTCGTCCGGCCAGTCTGGTCTCCGTTGGTTGATCTGATGCATCGGTGCGCTGTTCTGCAGCGGATTGCTCGGACTGTCCGCGTAAATGCCGGCTCGTGCCGGCTCCTGAGGCTTCAGGAACGTTCTGTTGGAAGAATTTTGATATGTATTGTCCGTGGTCGGATTCTGGTTGGACGCTGTCCGCGACGGCGGTCTGCCCTTTGGTACTCGGAACGGCGAAGGATCGGTGGGCGTTTCCCAGCTGTGTGGTTTCGATTGATCCGGATGCGGTATCCTCTCGTTCCAATTCAACGCTTTCTGATGGTCCATGGGTGGTTGCTGATTCCTCTCGGCGTTTATTTGATCGCTATAGGCTTGTTGCTGTTCGAATTGCTTGGCTTGCTCGGGATACCAGGATCCCAACATGTTCCAACCCCCCGCCTGATCGGAAGGCGCCGGTGACATCTGATTGATTCCGGGTGGTTTTTGCTCCGGCAGCTTTTGCATCCGATATTTCCTCTGATCGATCGATCCTAACGCGTGGGCATCGTTCTGCGGATTGCCTTGGGCCAGGTGCGGGGAGGCGTGAAGCAAGAGCTCCGGATTCGTGGAACCAAATGGTTTATGACTAGCGTTGTCCATACAGGAAGATACCGAGAGCCCGGAGAACACGTCCACATTGGAGTCGTTGTGCTGACCCTGGTACGGAAAGTTTCTCGCCGATTGAACGGAGTGAGGTGAATAGTGGCCTTGTATTCTGTTCACGTACTGCTGTTCCGCCTGCGACTTCTGTGCCTCCAAGTAGTTCTGCGTCATGGGGTACTTTTGCTGACTAGAATCTTGCGCCGGTTTCGAGAACGATAACTTCGATTGATCGCAACCCTGTCCAACGTTGCGGAAATTTGCGTTGTGCGACTGATTCGCGCGGACGAACATGCCCCTTTGATCCAAGTGTGGCGGGTAACTTGGACAGCTGGTCTTCGGAGACGCGCTGCCCTGTCTGTTGTCGTAGACGTTCGGATAATTTCTAGGTGCTGGTGGATGGGTGTAGCTCGTTTCCGGGTAGCCCCTCGCCGGGGTCATTTTCTGATCTTGAGGCGTCGAGGGACAACCTCTGGGCGACATAGAGTACGCGACATCCCCGGGCGTTCCCGCGTGGGAACTCCTCGGCGATATGGGGTGGCCCCTCGGCGATTGCGGATAGCAATTCCTTGGCGAGTCCATGGTGGAGTTGGGCAAATTTCGCGAGCCTGGTCGATGCTCGTCCTGAGAAACCGCGCTTCTAGGCCTCGTATCGTCCAAACTCGTGCTATCAGGGTCAACCTTCACGTCTCTCTCCAAACCGCCGAACGAATACTCGCCCCACGGGTTCAACCAGTTGTTCTTTCGCTGGTCGAGCCAACCGTTCCTACCCCACTGTTGCTCGTTCTGACAACCCCAACCTTGATACATGGACACCGGACTGTCTAGAACGGTAGAGGATACCTGAGAGCTCTGCAGCTGCGCGTCCATCCCTTCGAACATCGACGCCATTTCCAGGGACAGTTGCGGATCTCTCATTTGCGGTCTCGGTGGTTCTTGATGTCCCGGTACACGACTCGGCTCTGACACTTTCTCGCTGGTACCCTTCGAACCGTCTTTCTTATTGCTCACTGTGTCCGGCTCGTCTTCTTTTCTCTTCTTGCCGTGTCGTCTACAGGGTTGGAGCGGAACCGATCGGACTCTGACTTCGCAGGGATACCTGTGTCACACGATGTTCTATGTTTACTCGCCTTAAATATGATTTATTTGTTTCGATGCGCAGAAGGTGTCCGAATGTAAATCACTTCGAAACACGGATGTCTTAAAACCTCGATAACACTGTAACGGAAGAGGCCTCTTACTTTGTTAAAACTTCTACAGCGCCGGCGCGAACCTTCTCGTCCTGTGCCTCTTTCGATCCGTACTCGTCCGTGGTGTCCATAATGTAAAGGGGAAGCACGTGCAATTGTTCGTCTTCGGGTTTGGATAGAGACCGGTGTTTCGTTACGGTCACCACCTGAACAACGAGAACCATTTCACACGTGACTGTTTCATCCGAATATGATGAACGCCCAAGCAGTTGTTTTATCACTCGGTTACTTACCACGGTACATCCGTTGTTCATGTTGTGGAGATCGCGATGAGAATGTGCGCAAAAGTCGATGCAGGCCGTGACACCAGAAAACGGTCGGCCAGGTTTGAATCCTAAACGGCACTCGCTCGCTTCCCGTTCGAACTGAGTCTGATTGTTGAAAGCTTCCGGTGCTAGGCTAAGGTACAGAGGTGATAACAGTGTTGCTAGGACGTGCATTCTTTCTTCGACTTCTTGCTCCTGGAATCAGCGAACGAATCGAGTTATCGTTAGCGAAAGGGGAAGGTCTCTGGAACAAAAGCGTTCGAGACGACGCCTCACCTCTGATCGCACTGACAATCGAAATTTACGGACGGTTTTGCTTCTGGCGTATTTGCAACCATTATAATACATGGACCAGGAACACCCGAAGGAGAAGCTTGCGCCGCAACTGTCAGGATCGAGTCCCTGGCAAGCACAAGTCCTCGGTTCGTTCGTTCCACACCTCCTGGTCGTGGGAAGACCGAATCGATTCAATTTGTGGCTCAACAGGGAGTAGATCCGATCGGCTTCGTGGGTCGGCACGCCTTCCCAAGCAACCATGGCCACGACGATCCAGGCTGTCGGACACTTGTGTCCTTGACGATGTTTTACTATAGTTAGGATCTTCTCTTCCACACCAGATCGTCGTAGGATCTAGCGAATCACTGATATTACAATCCCATCACCAAAGTAGAACAGAGACGATCTTAGCGGTTGATTCATAGCGATTGTACTCGAAGAGGAATAAAGAAAAATGATTCGCTTCGAAATTAATAATTGATTATTCGCTCACCCACTTGGCCATAGGACATCCCTGAGTCGTTTTGCCCTCCTTTCCGGTGTAGATGACCTTTTCGAATCTTATAGCGCTTCCCTTAAGGCCGGTTCTTCTTTCAAGATCGTTCCGTAGGTCGGGCAGGCTTGCAGCCGCCCCGAGGTGAGTGTAGTACGAGCCGGGCTCTGGCGGACCTTGTGGTTGAACCTCATTTTACTTACGAAACTGGACGTTTCAACGAAAGGAAGCAACAGAAGCGGAAACATTTATGCCACGTATGTAGGTATGCCCCCTGAGAAAGGGGGGTAAGTTAGGTTACGTGCATTCTTCTTTGGGTCACTGTATCGAGGCGCATAATCGGTGTATGTCGGCCATATGATATTAGTAGTACAGTGGTTCTCAAGATGTTTCTTTTTTTGTTACGTATTTTTTTTTTTTTGTTTTTTTTTTTACTTTATTTTTCGTGTAACGGATAGTCGTGGTTAGTGTGTTCTCTCAATGTTAGTGTCGTGCTGAATACGCAATAGCAACTCACATTTGTCGGCGGGGAAGCAGTTGCACTCCGGCACTTCGGTCCTGACATTGTTCTTCAGTTTGTCCAAGTGATCTTGCAGTTTTGTCGTCGATGGTACGTTGCCGGTTCTTGGACTTTGCGGACCTTCGTTCTTTACGTCGGACTTGTCGGGCGAGTCGGCCAGTATCTCGTCCCTCGTTTGTAGACCTTGGCAACAACCCTCGCGCAGATGTTCGGGGGTCGGTTGCTCGGTACCGCCTCTTCGACAACACCACGAACCGACGCCAGGCGAGACTTTCGCTGGTCCACCGTCGCCACGGAACTTATAGTCGGAGGAGTCCTCGTGCAATCGTTGGTCCGGCTCGATTTTTATCTCCTTCGGCGTGCAACCCTCGCTCTTCGAGGAAGCTGCTGGCGACGGGACGCATTCGGAACCCGAGCAGCCGTAATCGCCGACGTTCTCTTGCTTGATGGTCTGAGAAGAGTCGCAGTTCAGGCTGCTCGCGTCCGTGGACGCTGGTTTGTCGGTGCTCTCGACGAACGGTTGATCGCCCTCGGTGATCAGGGCTACTCGTGGCGTCTCCGGAAACTCGAAACCGCTCCCCGTTTCGTCCGTCTTCTTCTCGACGTTCTTCTGACACTTGTCGAAAGTCCTTTCGTCGGCCCTCTCTATGCCCAGCTCCCTCTGAAAGGACTTGTCGTCGATAGTCTGATTGTCATCACTCTTATTTGCCTCTTTCCACAACTCTTGCTGCCCCTGCGACTGTTGCTGTTGAGACTGTTGCTGCGGTTCTTGTCGCTTGTCGCACGGTTTCTGATGCGCGGTCTTCTCCTCCGAGCCGAACTGAATGAAACTCTCGATGGCCGTTATACCGTTCTCCGACAGTACACTACCGTTATTTAACGCGTTACCTCCTCCTGACCACTCCCATAAGCCACCACCATCGGGCAAACTATCGACCCGAGGGTGGTGGCTATGCAATAAAAAATTACCGGTCAAAGATTCGTTTGATGGCGCCATGATGTTCGATTGATTTAAATACTGATCCGCTTGTTTCTCTTGAAGTTTATCCGCGTTCTCGTGCGAGTCTCGTATCCGATCCTCCGTGTGATAGTCCCCGTTCGTTCCGTTGTTACTGTTCACGTGCTGAGACTGCATTTGATGGTGCAAATTGTGGTGTTGTTGTTCTTGATGGCCCATCTGATGCTGGGACTGTTGCTGCTGCTGCTGCTGCATCTGTTGATGTTGCAGTTGTTGTTGCTGTTGCTGCTGCTGTTGTTGTTGTTGTTGTTGTTGTTGCTGCTGTTGCTGTTGCTTGTTTAGTATCATCGATTTCAGTCGGCTGTTTAAATTTACGCGGTTAGATTGAGCAAATACGTTACTCTCCTGAGCATCTTGATTATCTGAAAACCCGTTCGGTTTGCCGGTATCCGTCGCTTGTTGTTGCCAAAGTACTCTTTCCCCGGAGTTCTGCATGTCTTGCTTGGTCGCCTGCTGGCCCCAGGTCGGCTGATTCTCCGTCACCGAATTCGGCGACCAGGACATCTGGTTCTCCATTTTGTTCTCCTGGGCGGACGGCTGGGTCTGCCAGGCGGCCGACTGGTGACTGGGCGTTCTTCTCGGACTAGGCTGAGAGTCTGGCCACTGTTGCTGAGGTTGCTGACTACTGTCGCTCTTTATACTGTTCGGCGACCAATTGGGTTGACTAGTTGGTGTGTCTGGCCAGGACATTTGATTAGACGGCGTAAGTCTGGGATTCTTCTCGATTTTTGTCTGTTGCGACCACTGTTGCTGCGCCTGTTGTTGCTGCTGCTGCTGTTGCTGCTGTTGTTGTTGTTGCGTGATCTGCTGACCAGACGGCGTTAACCTCGGATTCTGTTGAACCGAGTTCTGTTGCGCCTGCATCTCTGAACTACTTTGCTGCCAATTGTGCTGGCCGGATGGCGTCATCCTGGCGTTCTGGTGAGACGGATTCTGCTGATGGTCCGACAACTTCGGAGAATGTTGTAGCCACCCTTGATGCTGAGACTGTTGTTGACTAGAGGGTGTCAATCTTGGATTCTGGTTGTCCCTCAGCTTTGGACTTTGCCGGGACCAGTTTCCCTGAGTTTGTTGCTGCTGGTTATCGGTATTGTCTGACCACGATTGCGACGTCTGCGGCTCCTTGACGCTGCTAGTCTCCCAACTCATGTGGCTGGCCGGCCTGGGCAGCTCTTGCTGACCCTGCATCTGCATGCTTTGTTGCTGCTGCTGCTGCTGCTCTTGCGCTTTCATACTGTTACTCTGCATACTCTGCTGCTGCTGTTTCTGTTGCTGGTGCTGCTGTTGTTGCAACGTCCCATCCGACCAGTTCATGCTGTTGTTCGCGTCGTTTATCTTCGTGCCGGTACTGGTGTCGGACCATATATGTCGTTGACCACCGTCCGGCACCGAGTGCTGCCGCTGCATGTGCTGTTGCTGCTGCTGGTGCGACTGTTGCTGAGCCACTTGCGATTGCCATTGGTTCTGTACTTGTTGCTGACCCATTTCCACGTAGCCTGGATATCCGTTAGAGTTGTGTAAACTCTGTGGGCCCGGTTGAAGTGGATACCCAGGCATCTCGTTTCCCGACACGTTGCTGGCTGCGATCGTCGCAAATCCCTTCACCTGCGTGTCCGTCTGGGGTTGCTGGGGCTGCGACTGCGGCTGCTGGGAGGTCTGCTGTTGCTGCTGGTTATCCATATGCACCGAGCTACTACGACTCGTGGGGGTGGTTGAAGGTGGCGGTGCCATCGTCACGTCCTGGAAAGATCATCATTCCATCTATAACTTAAAATCGTTCGTGGTTGCGATGAATGTAAAACCTGGCTGAGCACAGCGTGTACGGCGGCCCGCGTTTGAAATCGTCCATCATGGTTTACAATCAACGTTCGAAAATATCGTTAGAAAAAAACTAGATATCGTGGACGATTTCGAGAGGGACGCCGTACTTACTGCATAGGTATTTGCATTTGTCAACTTCGTACGAAATTTTTCTCAAACTGATTTCACCGTTAAACGTTTTGGAACATATTTTTTCGAAAATAGTTTCAATTAAAAACGTTTCATGTATAATTGTACCTGTTGTTGGTAACCATTGACGTAATCCTGCCTTTCATAACCGACTGATTGGGTCGCAGTAGCAGCTGGATCCATGAATTGACCGTTTAGTGGCCTCTGAGCTGTCGATGGTACCGTTTGTGGGGCGACCGGTGGCAAGGGCGAGGGTTGCCCCGTGATTGTGTATTGTCCTGTCGCCCCGGCGCGTTGAAACGCCGACTGATCCGTTGTAATGAAAGTCTGCTGCTGATATGCGACTGTAATCAGAAAATTCGCCTGCTGATTCCACAGAAATGCGCCCGATTCTAGGACCGGAATTAGCGGTCGCACAGTTTGCGTCCCCCGATGCTCTTTCGTTCCGTAATATTTACGATCACGAGTCGACAATCATCGAATTTCTAGACACGATTCAACTAAAAAGCAAATGAAAGTTTGAATCGTCGGGGGGAGGAGAATCGTTGTTTAATTACCTGGCTGCGGATGGTACGACGCGGCAGCGGTGTATTGGGTGTGATACCTCAGCTCTTCGAGCTGGTTCGGAGCCGGAATTTGTTGAATGAACTGCTGAGGTGGCCATGGTGCTGCTGACGTTTCAACCGCAACTGCTCCCACGGGAGTAACTCCCTGGTGCCAAACGGTGTTCCCAAAACCAGCTGCTGGCCGGAAACCGGCGCTGGTGTCGCCGTAAAATGGCATCACTCCCGGTGACTGTCGACAAAAACAATGCATCTCGTGTTTGAATCATCAAAAATATAATAATATATCTTCATCATACCAAGCTTGAAATCAGGGATGTGGTATCAATGTGATTTTCATGAAAATCGACCTTAAAAAGCCACTGGGTATTTGGATCTAGACTTCGGTGCAAGTAGAATCAGCGAGTGTTGGACAGACACGCCAGAACAAATTCAATTATAATTTATTTTGCAAAAGTTTGTTAAACGTATTATATTGGGTGAAATTTTAATTAAAAATTTGAGGTTTTTAGAAGTTTTACAGCGTGAGTTTAATGGGTTTGGAACTGCAATATCTCGTAAAATAGTGTTTGAAATATTGCTTGCAGGATGACCTAATATTTGTTATTGTTTCACTCTCATATTCCACGTATATTTTATAGTTTCTCCAACAGTGTCAACACAGATTTCGAGTGGAAATGGTTGGGATTAAGATTGTCTAGTGGACACGGGATAAGGGTTCTTCTATACGTGGACGATGGTGTCTGACCTTACGAATGACGAGGCGGCTTCCAGCATGGTTTGCTCGTGTGGAGGAGCTCTTATTCTTGATACGGACCCTCAAGAGTAATACTCTCGAGTGTACACCGGGTATCAGAGTGCAAATGGAGACGGACTAAACGGTGGACGTTTCGACTTCTCGATTCTCGAAGCTTTCGCGGCGGACTCGACGCTAGTGGCGACCGAGTACAATGAAATCGCCACGTATGAAGAACTATACCTGCGCGATGCAGATTCGTTTATTTTCGTTCTGGCTAGCGATGGCTTCGAGAAGCCTCTGTGTCGAGACAATTTCTCGTTTGATAGGTTGATTCCCTCTGCTTCGAAAGATTCGTACAATTATAGTGGGCAGTAGTGAGAGTTTTCTAGTAGTCGAACCTAGAGTTTGCTCCGCCATAACTCGAAAACGGCCCATCGTATACATGAATTTAATAAATAGTTAAAAAGGTTTTTTGGGGGGTAAAGAGGAGTGTAAGGAATTTGAAAAAATCGACAAAGTCGCGGGGAAAAGTTAGTATCGGAGTAATTCCAAAGCGCCTTGAGGCCATCGCTACTCCTATCCGCTGGCGGTCGCTCGGAGAGAGCGAGAGACAGCTTCGATCCGCGTGTGTTTCCCCGTGTGTGTGTGTGTGTCGCTACGTGTGGTTTGAGTGGGACGGTAGGACAGGGACGGAGAATGAGTGCTCATTGGAAGGAAACCATCGAGAGCGAGGAGGAGAGAGAGGTAGAGACCGAGAAAAAGAGAGCCACAAATAGACTGAGAAAACGATCGAAGAGGACAGGGGCTGAAAAGGAGAAGCAACGAAGAACGAAGGAAAGAACTGGCAAACTCGCAACCGGACTATAAAACTTCGTACAAAACGAAGGCAACAAGCACGAACGATCAGTTTGCTCGCCCGTACACCTCCGGACGGGCTTTGTCGTTCTGTTTCACTTTCTCCCGCGCACGCTTATGCCCCCTACGCCTCGAACCTCTCGCTCTCTTCATCTGACGATCGATTTTTCAAAGTCCGGCTGAACGCGCCTTTAAATAAAAGATGTCTCTTTGCGGAGTTCGGGAATATCTTTGCCCTCCTAGAGAGGTATACGCTTCTTCTCTTTCGATATATCACTCCCGGAGTTTTAGTCGTCCCCGTTATCACCGTGCATATAAACTATGTATACGAGCCGCCTATACCTGGGCGTTTACAGAGTTTCTCTTCTGTCTCGATGTCTACAGGGCGCTGCAAAATCGAACGACTCCGTAAACCTGGCCCCGACGAACCCACATCGATCTTTTTCGCGTTGATCAAATAGCACTTCGAAAATAAGCTACAGAAGTTTTGAGATCGATCTTGCAAAGATTGTACATTCTTCTATTCTCTCGATTTGGTTAATATCTCCGTTCGCGATAGTTGTTCTTAAGTGACGAGGAACTGGGTAACGGCATAGGCAAGTCTTTGAATAATACATTTCCGTCGCAAAGTTTCCGGTATCTCTGCAACGATTGCATTACGGACTCGTCTCGTTCCTTTTTCCCGCCAGCCAATTAGGTTTGCGCCCATAACCGTGGAACGTCCTATATATATATACATATTTCACCCTGCAGGCAATCAAAGTTTGATCGCGTTATCGAGGCTGGGTAGCGACGATTACCGGGGCCCGATAGAAAAATTTTGAATAATCGCGTTCGTGGTTGACGGCGTCACGTCGAAATTTCCGAGGAAATTCCGCTGGCCGATGGCGAAGAAAATTGGATGGCCGATCGAATAAAATTTGCCCGCGTTGCGGAGCTGTATCGCGTTGTCTCGTACATTTTGCACGCTGCGTGTTTATCTGGTGTTGCGCTCCGTGCGGCTACGAGCCGTTTTGCGGGTTATTACCCTTGTTACGCGGTACAGTTCAATTAACTGAGTTACGATGGTAATCCCATTGACGGTGACCAAGGAAGTGAAATTTCCTCCGTGATATTCGGGCTCGCGTACAGCCAGACGAAACCGAGCGACGCTGTTTAATTCTTTACCACCGATTTACAGGAATTTTCAAACACACCTGATCCTCCTTTCACACGATTTTACGACGATTTATCGAATTGTAATTTGAAACTTAAATTGGCCACGATTTGTCGTAGAACTTATTTTTATAGCCTTGTTACAATTCAACAGTCCTGTCTGGATTCATTTTTCTTAGGTTCTTAGTGAACAAATCATGTTATCCGTATGAAAATACTTTGTTCTTCGCGATTACAATTGGCTCAACATTGCATTGAGAAGGATCAGCTACAAATTTTTAAATGGATTTGAATACTTCACCATAGTCTGTGTGAACATCCAAAGTGAACAATCTAGAGCAGAGATTGACTTTTGAAAAATTGAACGGACACCCTCGATGATCATCCATCCGTATGAGAGTACTTTCTTCAACAGAAGAATGAAACGATTTCTGCAAATAATTCTGCCAAGGTTCTCTGTGCGGACCCCACTGAAACGAATTTAACCATCGAATGGAATGCACGATCGGAGTGCAAAGTGTAAACGTAAGTCTTCGCCTGGAGACGTGGCAGTTTTCGTGTTGGATGGCGGAGGTTGGGGGCCGTGAATTCGTTCGTGCGAGGGTTAAACGGCAAGTCGGAGCGAAACGGCGAAAAAGTGGGTCGGCCGGAGTAGTCCAGGAGAGCAGGAAAGGTGTCGACCGGACCGAGAAACTACGGGGAACCCCCAAAGTGGCCGTGAATCGGTGTTTGTGGTCGAGGTTGATAGCATCGAAGACCCGGGCGTCTCGCCAACCGAGTCAGCGATCCCTCAGAGCCACCGCCTCCCTCGGCTTCTCCTTCGTGTTTTCCTCCTTTCCTCTTCTATCGTCGTTCTGCTCCTCTCTGTCACTCCCGTCGAGTCTCGGTCGCGGTGCCGGGCTCTCAGGGGGAAAATCCTTCCGTTCTCTTGACATCGTGACCTAGGGCAACGTAAACCCGAGGCGTGATAAAACGGGATGTGCCGCGACAGCACCCAAACATAACCCTCGGAAGCCACCGTTCCTCTCTGTCTTCCGTTCTCCGGCTCTCTCGCCTCCAAGGAACTTCACCAGCCCGTTCGTTGACCTCGACCCCTGCCGTTCCTCCTTTCTTTCCTTCGTTTTTCCACCTTGCACGTTGCCGACCTCCGGTGACTGGTTCCCGGGCTTCTCTCGATGATTCACGGAACACGTTCCTACGCCGTGTCGGAGCCCATCTGCACCGGGGGTTGCTGGCCAAAACAGGGTAGGCGGACAAAACGTTCGACGGGGAAATGGTCGAACAAATTGTCAAACTGTCTATGAAGATCATGGATAGCTTCGATATATTGTTCTATTATTTTCTTTCGAAACACCACACATGAACTCGAGATTAATTGTTCAAACTAAGCCCACTTTTCAGTACTGTCATTTTATATTTGATAGACAATATTATGGACAAAATAGCCTCGATATATTTCTCTATTGGGTTCTTTTTATTTTACGGGAGGAAAATTCTAATCACTCACTCTTGTTCAGAACCACACACATAGTTTCGATTACATTCACAAATAAATCAACGACCACCAAAACGGAGATAACGAACTCCCGAAATAACCCAATCAAAAAATATTTCAGATCTTGCGGATGAAAGAGTATAAAAAATCCAGCGATTACCGGTTGGTCGGAATCAATCGTTCGGGCAACGGATCATGAGATAGGTCGATATTCGATTACGCGTGGGTGCAGCGCGAAACGTGGAAGCGGACTTGGCAGCCGAACGAATTTAAACCGCTTTGAAAATCGAGCCAGAAATTAATTTCGCCGTTCTCCACCCCTCTCCTCCTACAGTAGCAGAGTACGTTCTCTCTCCGAAACGTTTGAACCGGAGGGGGGTTGCAAATTTATCGACGAATTAGCCACAGCAATCAGTCCCGCATCGATACGTTTATTTCATTAAGCGTTCCGCGCGCGCGGATGATCGCGCGTTGGAGCAGCGCAGATGCTCGCGCGTACTCGGCGCACCGAAAATTCATTTATCAATGCAACCTACCCCTCGTTGCATCCCGCCATCCGTTACACGCTGTATCTACACGCTGTTCCAACGAGTCTTTTGGGCCGTTCGATCGCGGCGCGCCGTGACAACCGATAAAACGGAATCGTTTACGCGGTAAAACAGCTTTTATCGCTCTATTTATACGTCGGGCCATGGCCACGAGGGCGGTTACCAATAGCTTCTGATACGTTCCAATACGACGGACAAAGAGGCCCGATAAGACGCAAATTAACGTTTCGATACCGCTGCTCCGTACCAAAACGGTCAATTTCAATTTGCTGCTTTTAATAACCAATACGATAATACGGTCACTCGTGTCTATACAAACGGGTATGCTGTTTTTAAAACTGTTTCTCTTTTTCGTCCATAGGGATATTTAAGGATTTGCGTTTGCATAAATTAAAAAGAAAAAAGTTCGATCAATTTAAACTCTAGCGTGAAACGATAGT